GACAGATAGTATCTGCCCAAGTGCTGACCTCAGTTTAGCACAGACCCGGGGCTTGGTTTGACTGCGCTGAGATGAAAAAGAGAAGAGCAATCTGTACATGCTGGATGTAAGGGCCAAGAAGGACTGACCCTCCCTCCCTCTCCCTCTCTGAGTGCACGTGTGAAGGAAGGAGGGAGGTAGTATCTATCCACAATCCAGTCATGATCTGGAAATAAATCTTAATTCTTTCAGTTTGTCCCCCTCCAGCATCCTGATAGCAGAGAAGTTGAGGGGCAGAGAAATAGGAAAGCTCATAAAAGAGGGTGGCAAAGAATGGTTTTCAGTTGTCATGAGTGCAGCCGGCTGGAGCGGGGGGTCAGACTAGATGGCCCAGGAGACCCCTTCTGACTCGCTCTGTATCCCTCTTTCTAAAGCAACCTAGCCTATGCACAAAAGGAGGCTGCCTGGGGCATGCGGGAGCTGCAGACTGTTTCTCTGTCTAAATATGCATAGCATGACGCCCTTAGGGGGCAATCTGGCTGGGATGCCTGCAGCCTTCTGAATTTGGGGGATTATGAGTACTCTATCAAGATCAGAAGAAGCTGAAAGCACCTCTGAAATGCTCTTGCCCTGCAAAAGCCTTTGGTGGCCCGTTTGGACCATCTAAGTCTTTTACGTGTGCTTGTGAGGACAGGCTGAGGTGCCTTGGGGTGCATTGCATGCTAGTGGAAGAGTCTCTCCCCTCTCCCTAGAATGTGTCTTCCCAGGTGTGAGTTCATAGCTATGCATGGGTGCCTAGGTACCTGATGAGCCCTGAGAGACAGGGACCTTCCTGACTGAACAGTTTTTCCCATCCTAGTTTCCTCTGGATATTTTGGAGATCAGCACTCAGAATTCTTGATCATTGGAAGTTCCAGTTGAAAATGCCTAGAGGGCACCAGGTTGGAAAACAGCAAGTTGTTCCTTTCCCTTCCATTCGCATATACAATCGAATTTGTTAAATTGACAAGTGGCCATTTTTTGGTCTTGGTATCCTTCCAAGGGCTGCTTCCAGGGTCAATGCAGGTGGCAAAGTCCAGGCAAGAAAAGAGTGGCTGCTCCACAAAACCCCTGCATGACTTGGTTGCTCCTCCTCCACCAGATTAGGGTGACGCACACAGCCAGCCCCCCCCCCCCCCCGGAGGGTTCGGGCTACCTGGCTTCTGACAGCCTCGAGTACATCAGCTGGGAATGCTAATGCCAGGTTTCGCTTTCATTTCAGAGATTCTAGTCTTGAGTAATTTTCTCTCAGGGAACCCCCAACCCAATTTAACACACTTTTTGCATATTTAGTGTTGGTGTGCAGATTTCATTGTGAGATCTCTGGCATGGCCCTGCCACATTCATAACAACAACAACAAAAAAAGGGGGGGGGTCTTGTTTATTGATATGCAAATGTCAAGTGTGACCAGGGGAGAAGGCAGCTGCCAGGGCTTTTTAATTACCTGGGTGGCAAAGAGGGTGGGCCTCAGTCCTGCCCTTAATGAGTTGTGACAGAAGTTAGCAGATGACGCTCATCAGCTCATTAGTCTTTCCTGGGACATGCCTCCCCCCCTCAGACTCACCAGCCATCAGGATGGCTGAAGATGTTCCATGCATATGTGGGCAGCTTTGCCCTGCCTGATTAGTTTGGATTATCTTTCAGGGGAAAAATGGTCGCAAGCCATTTTGGTCAGTTCGATCAGGATCAGGACTGAGGGACATTTTTTCTGTCTTGCGGCCACATCACTTCTGGGGTAATTTGTCCTGGGTAGGTCATGAAGTCAGCAGTGGGTCAAACCAGGACTTCTCTCTGTTTCTCTCTCTTTTTCTGCCATCCCTTTCTCTCCATCTTTCTCCTGGTCTTCCTCCCTGAACGGTGGCTGCAATGGAAGGACAACTTGCTCTTGTCAGGGGTCTAACCTGGTCACTTACAGAACACATTTGAGATTAGACCGGTGGCCAAATACAGGCCTAGAGCCACAGGTTGCCCACCTCTGGATTATATAGAAGCCCTCCTCCTCGTCCTCCTCCTCCTCCTCCTCGTCCTCCTCCTCCTCCTCCTCCTCCTCATCATCATCATCATCATCATCATCATCATATCTGTATCCCCAGTAGCCAAAGTTCTCTGGGCACTGTGCTACAGCTGATAAAACACAATACAATACAATGTCAGATATAAATGACAGTAAAAACATAACATTTCACTAAAGATTTAAAACAAATTTTAAGCAACAGGGTGGCAAGTCTATACCAATGGACATGCTGACAAGCAACTGACAATGTCCTCTACTCACGATGTGCTATCTGGTCTGGGTGAATGCTCAGCAAAGAGGATGGGTCTAACCTGGTGCCAAATAGATAGTAAAGTTGGCATCAGCTGGGCCTCTGTATCCAGACCATTGCAGAAGATCATTCCATAATTTGGGGGCTACCATAGAGAAGGCCCTTCTCGTTGTTGCTAGCAACTGACCCACCCTTGGAGGTGTGCTTTGGAGGAAAGCCTCATAAGTTGAGCACTGAGTCTGAGTAGAGCACAGTTGGAAGAGGTCTGCTCTGGGAAATTCTTTCCTCCTTGGTCATATTTAAAAGTAAGGGCAGACATATCTGTATTGGATGAGCTGATATGCTAGAGCCTTTGATGAATGCAGGAAAGCAGTCAAAAAGTGCTTTGTAGCATGAACTCATGGAGCTGCCTTATTCTGTGCCAGAAGAACGAGGTCCATCGTGCCCCCTCCAGGGCTTCAAGCATGGGATTGGGCCTGGAACTTTGTGCTAGCAAAGCAAGAACGCTGCCGCTGAGTCCCCCCCCAACCCCATGAAACTCCTGCCAGGGCTTCTGGTAACCTGCCATGTGAAATCCATCACCGAAGCACACATGGTACTTCAGGACGGTAGCCCCTCAGCATCTTTTGCATCTATTCTGCCTCTGGGCAAAGCAGTGGTCTCACCACAGGTCATGATGGGTTTGGACCTCCAGCTTGCTTACTTCTGCCCCAGCACACATCTGTATTATGAGTGGACAATCTCTTAGACATTGGGTGAAGGTCAGATTTAAGGCCTGAGATTTACCTGGTTAATGCAAGATTAAGTGGAAGACATGAGTGCCCTCTTCAAGTATCTGAAGGGTTGGGGTTTTCATTAGACAGTGGAACGAGCCTGTATGTGTTGTTTTATACCATCAGGTGTTCTCTCCAGATATTTTGGGTTTTCATAAATGCCAGGCAGCACCCACGTGGCCAGTTCCCCAAAGCTGTTATGGCTCAGCCCTATTTTCCTCCCTTTCTTATCGTGATAGAACCTGGTTTCATCTCATGAAGCTGGCTGGTGGATGCTCCAGGACAGATAAAAGGAAGTACTCCTTCACACTGCACATAGTTAAGAGCAGGAGATGTGCTACCACAAGATGTAGTGATGGTGACCAATTTGGGTGGCTTTACAAGGGGATTGGACAAAGTCGTGGAGCAGGTAGCTATTGATAGTCCTGACGGCTCTGTGCTGCCTCCAGTAGAAGAGGCCAGATGCCTTTCTATACCCGTTGCTGAGCGGGAAGGTGCTGTCAGGCTCACCACCTGCTTGTGCGTTTCTGGAGGGGGCTGTTTGGCCACTGCGTACCCAGAGGGGCTAGAGGCATCTTGGTCTGCTTCCACATGAGCTCCCATGTTCATGGGCACTTAACCTGGATATACCTCCTGCTCTTGCTATAATTTTATACCCATAGAACTGTATAGGCAAAGCCTGATCGGTTCTTGACCTCTGAGAGCTTGGAATGTGGAAACCATTGAGGAAGGAGGGAGACAGGGCCATGCTGAACCCTGAGAAGACTGACAAGGGACCTGCTGACATTTCCCGGGTTGACAATGTCAGGGGAGGTCTTGTGACACCGGACACTCGCTCCAGTTCTCCCTGTGTTCAGATGGATGCAGTTGGTGAAGAGTGGTGCCAGCCATCACAGGACCCCCTCACAGGCGGCATTTCCTATGCCGAGAGAGGCCCATGTGCGCCCTATACGTTTTGGCCTACAACTTTTATCAGTCTGGCTGGGATAGCCATGATGGGGGCTGCAAGGAACAGGGGAATATCCGCAGGATCACAAGGTGCCCATGCCTGGTGCCCACACAGGCTTCAAAGGGCTCTTGTCGCCCGCTTGCTCGCTCAACGCGCGCACACTTTTCCAGCAGGATTCCTCACCCAAGCGCTGTCGTTTCAGGAGTTCTGGCCCGTGTTGGGCATGAATTTTGCCCCGCAGGGTTTTGCTGGCGCCTTCAGCGAGGATCCGCCCGGGCAGGATTGGAGCAGTCCGGGGAAGTCACAAGTGAAGGGTGTGCGCGCACGTGTATTCTGGGAGCGTGGGGCGGGGGATCCCACCGTCCGCACGTGGGACCTGGGCGGAGGAGCGGACCGGAAAGCGCGGCCGCGGGCGCTCGGCAGCCCACTCCCCATCGAGTCATCCGCTCCAGGCTGACCCCACGCAGGCCACCGTCACCCCCTCCTCCCGCGCCTCTCCTGCCGAGGCAGCAGGTCGGTGTTCCTTTAAGCGGCCGCGGGAGGGAGGGAGGAAGGGCTCGCCCGCCGCCAAGCCTGACAATGGGCCGGGGCAGCGGCTGAGTTGGAGCAAGTTGCCCGGCGCGGCGGCCGCGCCAGCGCAACAGCAGCTGCCCGAGGTCCCCGGCAGGCGTCGACGCCAGCAGTAGCGCGCCGGAGGGCTGCTCCGGGAGTGCGCGGGCGATGCTGGAGCGGCGGGGGCCATGAGTTAATTTCCGAAACTGCCGGAGCCCTGCCTGGATCGCGCGCCTCCTCTGCCTCCCGCGCTCCCCCCGCCACGACGTCCCTCCTCTCTTTAACCCGAGCGCCGCCCGCCGCCCGCCTCCCTCCCGCCACGTCTGGGGGCAGGTCCCGGGAGCCGATCGTCCGCCCCCCCCCGCCCCACCCGCTGCTCCGCGCGCCCGCCCTGCGCTCACGCTAAGAAGGAGCTCCTTCCCCGCTTGCTGCGGATGCGCGATCCTGGGGGAGCTTGAGCCATGCGGCGGAGGTTTCTGCTTTGGCTCCGGAGCTTGCCGTGCTTCTTGCTGGCCTTGGCGGGACCCACTGCAGGTAAGAAACGCTCATAGAGCGGAGGGGGCCTTTTCTCTTCCCCGGCTTGCTTCCCCACCTCTGCCGCCTCCCGCGGGGCACACGCGGTGGAGGCTGGGCACCGCTCGCCTGGCACTTTCCGGACGGAGCTGGGCTGCGGATGGCGCGGACCGGGCGGGCAGCTCGCGATCGGGATTCCCCGAGGAGGTGCCGCTTTGCGTGGGGCCCGCTGACCCCGGGGGGCCTGCAGCCGATCCAAGGACGACCCCATGACCCCGGGCCCCGGGGGGCGGGTGAAGAGCCGCTTCCTCTTTTGTGGCCGCGTGGACGCTCCGCTTGACCGGGAAAGCTGGACAGCCTGTGGCGAGGTTAAGCAGATGGACGTGAGCTGGGAGCGGGGGATCACCCCAGATGTCTTTTGAAATTGGGATTGCTGTTTTGTGAGAGCGAGTTTCAACTATTGTTGCCGGGGTCCTCCGGGAAGAGGGCAACTGGTGCCTGGCTGGGGAAGAGTCGTGCGGGGTGCACCCCCGCTCGCCCCCTTCCCTGCTCCGTTCCAGCCTTTTGCAGGCTTGCCAGCGGGCTGCGTGCAGCCCCGTCCACACGCGCAGCCAGCTTGGCAGCGCACCCGCCCTTGCCCGCATGGACAGGAGGCTTCCGTGTAGAGCAGCCTGGGGCGCTGCAGAGATGATAGACTACAAGTTCCAGTATCCCCCAGCCAGCTCTCTAGCCCAACACCTCTGGAGGGCCCAGGCTGGGAAAAAGGCTGGCGTAGAGGTCGGCCTAGAACACGTGTACCGATATGTCTCGGGCGTGCAAACCTATATATAGTCGATCACGTGTATGGTTCCCACTGTGTGTACACGGCGCGCGCGCACTCGCAGAGAAGATGCTACCGCGCCGCTTCCCGCTTTCCAGGCATTAGCACCGCAGCGGAACAATGAGCACACGTGCAGCCGCATTCTCTCCCTGTCAAAAGGCGGCCCCGATCCCGACGTGCCGCCGCCCCACTGTGGAGCGCCCCTGCCCCTGCTCCTCCCCTCCCCTCCGGATGACCCCGCACGGAGCGCGGGGGTCATGTCTGGGGAGCTGCAGCCCCGCCGCGCCCAGGGGCTCTTCTGCTTTGCACTTTTCCTGGAGGGAACAGATGGGCCCGCGTGTGATAAAAGGAGCACGCGCAGGGGACGTGTGGCCCGGTGGAAGCTGGCTGCAGAGGGGCGGTTGGCAGCTGGAGGGTGGCTGACCTTTCAGAGGCTCGACAATTGCAGGCGCCCGGCCTTCCAGCCGCGCTCGTATTTGTACTTCGCTTTGCAAGTGCAGCACCGGTTCCACTCTCTCTCTGCTAGAGACAGAGATACAATTGTTTGGATATGGTCTTAATTTGTTTCCTTCCTCTGATCTTTCCACTGCCTGTGTGTGTGTGTGTGTCCGTGGGGGGTGTTTTTAAATTTATGAGGAAACAAAAATCCCCCGACAGCAGACTCTCAGAATCTGTCCGCTAGAGGAGGCATCGGAACACTCAATGGGAGACACGCGCCACGCACACGCGCGCGGAGAGCAGATGAAGCGAAAGGCTGAACTGCCAGAGCTGAAATGACTGCATGTTTTTAAAAGCTAAAACTGCAAAACATACAGAGCAGTACCAATGAAGAGCAACAAAGCTGAAAGCAACAATGAATCTGAATGGTGGAGACCAAGCCTATATTTAAGCTTTTACTTTTCATTTAAAAATACTCTGTTTTGAATTTAGGCACACATTTTGGGGAAACTCTGACCTCCAACTTTTGGGGGGTTTCAATACCCTCCCCTACTTGACTCCATCCTAATCTGGACTTTTTCTATATTTTTTCTTCCACTTCGACTTTAATGTTGTTGGATTTAAAGTGATTTCTATGGGAGAGATATCAATGGGTGAGATTCCTAGAATGTAGTAGCTGGGTGATGTTTCCTCCATGCAACATTCTCACTGCAGCATACCTTGCTGGGCGTCTTGATGCAGTGACTGCTGGGATTCCTCTTGCAGGAGGAGGAGGAGCAGAGTTAGCTCAAGTGTGGGGCCATGTGGCTGGGGACAGAGGTCTTGACCGAGGGAGCCTTTATCACATTAAAGTATGGTAAATCGGTGAATTTTGCATGGCTGCTGTTACTGCCTCACTGCAGCTGTTCCGCACAGCGAGTGTTGGAGGAATGCTTTAGGCAGAACGGCTGGGGCTGCCGAAGGATAATGCCAAGCAGAAAGCGTGATGGATTCATATTTGAAATGTTTGGGAGGAGTGGGTCTGATTCTCCCAGAGCACGGTGCTTCCAGCGGAGAGGAGGCATGCTGGCGACAGGATCTGGCAGAATGCGCCACTCGCATGCCCTGCTGCTGCTTAGCTGTGAGATCAGCATTCACGGGTGTGCAGCAGTTCATTAATGTTCATGTGTAGGAAAGATGTGGCGCGAGCTCCATCGATATGGAGAGGGGCGGGGAGGGAGAGCACAGCTGGAAAGCACGCCTGTTCGTTCAAAGGTGAGCTTGACTTTCCAGAGGACCAAAAGCTCGGATATCCCGTTCCAATCTGAAGCCCTCCAGATGTTTTGGGTTATTACTCCCAGCATGATGGGAGTTGAAGTCAAAAACATTTGGTGGCAAATAGTATGGTGTGGGGCACAGAGCGAATGCATTTCAGTGTGGTAATACATGTGTAGTGTATGAGATCTATCTGGGGCTCGCATGGCTCAAAGACAGTGACTTAGAGAAGAGAAGCCACGGGGAGGGGCTGTGTATTGTGTGCTGGACAAATATACTGTCACACCTCCTAGGTCAGGGGTCCTCAGACTTTTCCACCAGGGGGGCAGTTGAAAGCTGCCGGTGCTGAGGTGAGGTGGGGTGTGGGTAGGGGCGGGCATGCACCGCGAGGCAGGTGCACGAGGCAGCGGCTTATTCACCTGGGGATTGTTTTCGCCAAACTGCTGCCTCCCCACGCACGGGGTGAGGTGGGTGGCAGCGGGCAGGTGGGTGCATGTGCTGTGGGTCCAAATGGGCATGGCAGGCCGGATCCAGCCCCTGGGCCGTAGCTTGAGGATCCATGTCCTAGGTGAAAAGCCTCAGGGGTGAGTTATAGGAGAGAGATAGCGGGAAGAGAGTGTAGCTCACGTGTGCCAGTGGATCCCAAATACCTGCTTGCCACCTAAGTGTACGTGGTTGAAGACAGCATGCTAGACTGGCTGGACTTTGAGTCGGATCAGCAGGGGTCTGAGATATACATAGAGAGAGGGGTGGTGGTGGTGCACTTAATCAGTTCAGATTAAGCCATGTTGGCAGTGGGATGGTTGAGTTCATGCGGACTATCCTTCTGCTGAAAACTTCAGTAAGGGTAATACGTTGGATCCAGGCATCATTAGTTGGATTTACTTCCCATTACCATCAGTGGGGCATGCCAAGTCATGCTTAACTTGTCCAAGAGAGTTCAGTGGGACCTGAGTTCAACTAATTTAGTCCAGATCCAAACAAGGCTAATATGTACATGCATGCATCATTTTATCAGCCAAATCTGCCCTTTTCTTTGCAACTTTGTTAAAGTAATCAAAGTGTTACATCAAGACTTAGTTATATTTAGAGCAGACCTATTGAAACCAATAGGTCTTGAGTACTGTGTCTTGAGTACTGTGAGACCCAGTGAGTTCAATGGTTCTATTGGAAACCTGGCTAAGTCTGGACCCAACCCACAGTTCAGAGGTTTTCTTTAATTCTTGAAGGGAGAGGGGATTTCTTGAGAGTGAGTCAGGCCTCTTGTGTGCTGCAGCAACCTCTCCCACTTTGACCTGTTGTGCCTTGTTCTTCTCCTGAGGCATCTTTGTCTCACATTGGAGGGCCTCCAACAATGAACAAGGCAGCCTTCACTGTCCTCCAGATGTTTTGGCCTGCAACTCCCATCAGACCCAAACAGCATGACCGGGGGCACAAATTCTTGCAGCTGTAGTCCGAAACTTCCAGGTTTCAGATGGCTGGCCCAGGAACGGGCGTAAATGTGTCTTTTCCCCGTGATGTGAGAAACAGGATGGTATTGCTCCTACCAATAATCTCCTGCCAGGAAGCTTTGGAGGAGGAGAATGATGATTCGCACTTTCAAAGCAAAGCTTCACTGAGACCCTTGATTCTGTCTGTGCAGAGTTGTGGAAGCTGCCTCCTCCTGTGTAGCACAGTGTCCTGTCCCAGAGTTTAAAGGGATCGGGTTCATTGTGGGCATGCATGTTGCACCATGTCCTTTCCATCAGACACTGATGTCAAATTCTGGGGATACGTCTATGCTTTGAAGTCCTTCATTTTTGATGAGCACTTTTCTTCAGGATGGAGGTTGAGTTTTCCATCTGGAGGGCAGATCAGGTGGCATACAGAGCTTCCACTCAGGTCTCTGCTAATGACAACTTGGTCGACTTTTTCCTGTTTCCAAGTGCCTTTGCTCTCTGCTCCTCCAAAGTTTGCGTCTCTGCCTCCTCTTCTTATTTTGCTGCCGTGAAATGCTTCTCTCACTTGATGCACACCAAATGTTTGGGGTTTTCCCAACCTAGTGCCCTCCAGGCTCTTGTACTGCCACTCCAACCAGCCCTAGCTAGCATGAACAGTGGTCAGGGAGGGTAGGAGCTATAGTCCAGAGCAACTGGAGGGCGCCAGTTTAGGGATGGTCCAGGCTGGTGGAGGGGGGCAGCAAATCTGGCCCTCTAATGGTCCCCAGAGGGTCACTTCCCCTTCATAGAATCATCGAATAGTGGAGTTGAAAGGGGCAATGAAGGCCATCCAGTCCACCCCCCTGCTGCTGCAGGACACCAAGTTGCACCATCCCACTCAGATGGCTGTCCAGTTTCTTCTTGAATGTCTCTAGTGTGGGAGAGCCCACCACCTCTCGAGGCAGCTGGTTCCACTGTTCTATTGCTCTGACAGTGAGGAAACTTCTCCTGATGTCCTACCCGAATCTGGGCTGTCACAACTTGAATTGATGATTCAGTGTCCTACACTTTGGAATCAGCAAAAAGATATC